TGCATTGAGTCTTGTCATCCAACTCTATATATAGAGACATAGGGGCATCTCTTTAATTAGCCCAAGCTGCCAACATTCCCAATTTAGAATATCAGCACGCTTTAAAGCTCCAATATCCAACTTCGTCCATGGCTCCTGTACTCATTCCTCCCATCAAGATCGGCCACATAGATGATGTTCAAGAGCTGACAAAGGTTAGACCAACAACGGTCCCAGAGAGGTATGTCCGAAACATGGCTGAGCGGCCAACGGTACCCACCTTCTCATCCCCATCTCAATCCCTGGACATTCCAGTTATCGATCTTTCTAAGCTTGTTCAAGGCGGTGATGATGAAGCAGCTCGGAGAGAACTAATGAAGCTCGCTGCCTCCTGTGAGGAGTGGGGCTTTTTTCAGGTAAAGTTCATGCAATAAACTTCTCTTCATTGGCTACGTTCGTTAATCGTTATATATGTTTAATTTCTTCCAATCTAATATATAATTTAACTGCTGAATTACAAACTCTGAATCTCTCCTCTTACTTAACTAAACACGTTATTAACATATATATAGGTTATAAACCACGGGATTGACAAGGATCTGCTGGAGCGTATAGAAAAGGTGGCAACGGATTTCTTCATGTTACCACTGGAGGAGAAACAGAAATATCCAATGGCACCAGGGACCATCCAGGGCTATGGCCATGCCTTTGTGTTCTCGGAGGATCAGAAGCTGGACTGGTGCAACATGTTGGCTCTTGGGGTTGAGCCTCACTACATTAGAAACCCAAAACTTTGGCCGACAAACCCAGCTAAATTCAGGTATGTATATATACGTAACAATTCTGGTTGGCATCATTAATTAATACAAATTTCGTGGGGTTTAACGCTTCTAGCTGTAATACATTTATATCTGGGGCTTTAATTAATTAATTTGGATACATATATATATATGCAGTGAGACTCTTGAGATGTACTCAACAAAAGTAAGGAAGCTATGCCAGACTCTACTGAGATTCATAGCCATGACCCTGGGCTTGAACCAGGATACGTTCAATGATATGTTCGGGGTGTCTGTGCAAGCAGTGAGAATGAACTACTACCCACCATGCTCGAGGCCTGATCTCGTGTTGGGTCTGAGTCCACACTCAGATGGAAGCGCCCTAACTGTGTTGCAGCAAGGCTTAGGTAGCTCAGTTGGCCTTCAAATCCTCAAGGACAACACCTGGGTGCCTGTTCAACCCGTGACAAATGCTCTTGTCATCAACATAGGGGACACCATGGAAGTAAGCATATATATTGTCCTTAATTAATTAGGGTATCTAGTCAACTAGCTAATTTGTTACATCATCGTCAATTTCATCAAAGACGGCCCATTTCTAATTCTAAGTTCTGATGATCATATGTATATATAGGTTCTCACAAATGGGAAGTACAAGAGTGTTGAACACAGAGCAGTGACACACAAGGAGAAGGACCGACTCTCAATTGTCACTTTCTACGCTCCAAGCTATGAGATCGAGCTCGGCCCCCTGCCCGAGTTGGTGGACGACAACCATCCTTGCTTGTATAGAACATACTACCATGGAGAATACAATCGCCACTACGTCACTAACAAACTGCAAGGGAAGAAAACTCTGGAATTCGCCAAGATTCAGACGACCAAGATCTCAACTTAAGATCCCACTCCTCGGTCCTCACCACACCACCTATTAGATTTTTATGTGAAAATATGACATACTGGTAGTAGTGTTGGTAGTTTGATTTCAACTCTTGTGAATAGGGTAGAGCCGAAAACAAAAAGCATAGGTTCTGTACTTCAAATCAGTCTACATCTTTCATAGGTATTACTGTTTTATGTAACTTTTCCTTTGTACATTTCACGACTATTAATGGACGACTGTGGAGCCGCTTGCCTATATAAAACTTTCTCCTGTTGTGTTCTTGTCTTTGAAGATTCTTCTCCTAAAATAAAATAATGGAGAAGTAAGAAGAATCAATGAACATAAGCAATCACTTTTACTGTTTAATTTGTCATTTAGATTCCTGGAAAGGAAAGAGACCTGCAATTGATGGGAGTAGCCAATTAAGCATCTATCCACCATAAAATCTCTCCCTTAATCAAATTATGATAATGGGTGTTCCCTTGTTTATGGAGAAAGAACTTTCTCAACAGATCATGCATGTATGTTTTCTACTGGCCTGAGAGAAGAACTAGCAAAGCAATATTGACTTTGGGTCCTTGATGGTGCTAGCTGATATGTCAGTATGTCACCAAGTGCTTACAGTTGGAGAACAGAATCAAATTCAATTCAAACCTCCATGACGTCTGATATGAAATTAATATTCTTTCTAGATGCAAAAGGTTGTCAAAGGCCCACCACAAGTTTCATTTATGACTTTAAGTAATTGTTAATGGCAGGTGCTTTTTCCTCAGTTGGAATGGATGCCTTCCAATGAGCCCCTCGCCCATCCCCACCCCTCTCTTGTGCTCTCCTGTCTCTCCAACCAGTATTCGAATGGATGCTTGAAGAACCACCAGATTCTGAACAGAGAAAAGTGGTATATGTATACCCATCAGAGACTACCAACCAGAGCCCCACCAGTGGGGAAAGCACTCATTATTGAAGGCACCGCAGTACTATCAAAAACAGCCAACAAATTCCACTTTTGACTTCTCCAATCCAATCTCTCTAAGTCAGGGGAGGCGATAGAGAGACAAAGTTCTACTTCTACTACAATAAATAAGCCAATAGAGACAAAAATAAAATGTGACCTAGCTAGAGACTAGAGTATAGTGAAAAATGAAATATTTTATTGGGTTACCATAGATTATTGATCTAGTTATCCTTCATTTATAGGTTCTGTAAACCCAACTCAATCAGGCAAAAGCCCTTAAAATAACCAGCTGACAGAGGGCAAAACAAAAAGGAACAACCCTTTGCTGCTCTTTTGACTTTGACAGCCCACTCAAAAGGACCTGATATTTATTTCAAGTGTGCTATTTCTAACTTCTTATATTATGGTTGCAGGCTTTCTCTTTTAAGGGGAAGATGACTGGTGAGGGCAGCAAACGGGTCCCAAGATATATGCCAAGACAGAGCATGAAATGCAAATGCCAAAAACGATTAAAATATGAGGGAAGTGAACGGCCACATTCAGGAGGTGGGGACTGGGACCCAATATGTTGTTTATAAAAGAAACACAATATGGAGTCTTTTTTAGTTGGGAGGAGAGCCGTTGTGTTTGTTTCACCATTATTCACAGCTTTACAAGTTGGACACACTATGCGCCCCATCCCGTTCATTGATCCACTTACGTTTTCTTCTTTGGATTCAGTAAAAGTATATTCCAACACACGAGGCTCTAGCCTCTAAGGCTGCAACTTGGGCCGAGTTGGCCCGAACCCAACTTGGGTTGGTTGATTCTCAGGTTAGGGTTAGGGTTAAAATTTATGAATCCAATTTTACTTTGGATTGGATTAGGATTGACCCCTCGGACAATCCGACCCCAAACCAAATCCGACTCTATGGTATATATTGATTTGATTAGATGTATGATAGTTGTATAACCCCCCACCACATACTATCATTTATTCCTTTTAAGATAATCACTTCATTTAATCATAATTGGAAATACAAAAATATTAATAACAAATTTTATGCTTTTCTAATATTTTATTTTTTATCTCCTCTCAGTTGTTTGCCACCCATGACTTGTTGCCCATAAAAGATCTATTATAAGTCATAATTCATATAAACTATAGCCATTTCAAATACTTTTTTTTCTGAATTTTGTATTTAAAGAACCAATAAAACATCAACAAACAAATACTAATAAAACATATGATTAATATATTTAGTGAAAGTTAAGTTAAGATTTGAGATTATGTTTTACGAGATTTTAAGGGATGGGAAGAATGTTGTGTTGGGCCCTTTGGGTTGGGTTAGGGTTGAAGGAATTTAGTTAGACTATGTTTCGTTTGAAGGAGAAATGTAGGGAAAGGAAGGGACCCTACCTTTTCCTTCAAACCAAACATAGCCTTAGGGTTGGGTAGGTTGGATTGGTTTAGGGTTACAGTTGGAGGTTTAGAACTTAGGGTTGGGTTAGAATAGACCTCAACCCAACCTAACCTGGCCCAACTTGTAGCCCTACAAAGCTCCCACTAATGTGGGGTTCAGGGAGGACAGATGCATGGTTTTCTAACCATCGTTGATATGGATGGTCAGATCATTTGACCCAAAAACCGTATAGGCAACCAATGAGGTTCAACAATGTTATAGTGGCTGGGGCTTGGGCGGCATGGAAAGCTCTTTACCATTTAAAGATTTCACAATCGAAGGAGATCTGCCCTTACCATCGCATACATCAACTCAAAGTGCAAGCAACCATAAATCCGTAATCTTCGTCTAGCATTATTAAAAACATTCAAACATTGTCAGAAGAGGTTCAATTTCACTCACATCCATAGAGAGGCAAACTTTCTTGAAGATTTTTTTGGCAAACCTGGGTCACAAGAGCTCTCCAAATTCCACTTCTCTTCAAGACGAGAGAAATTGAAAGAATTAGGTGCGACCCCCTTCCCCTCTTTTCTGTACCAAAAAAGTTATGTAAAGAATAGTTAATAATTTATGTGTTTTTTACAGATTTTAATCAAATAATTGGAAACTTTATTGGTTGTTTGTGACTTTGTGTTATACTACTCAATCCACTGAGTTTTGGGGCAAATATACAAAACCCTCCCCAAACCTGCCCCATTGCCATCCCTAGTTTAAAATCCACCCCGATACAGTGGAAGGGGTGCATCATTTTTTTTTTTTACTTTAGAATTTAAAGAGGGACTGGAGAAAGCATACATCTTAATGCTTAAAACAAACACTAAAAAAAAAAAAAAACTTGAAAACAACATATCAGTACATCAGTCAATATGGGCCAATACAACCTAAATAGACTAGTATTGGTAATCCTCTCCTTACCCTGAATTCTGGACTTATGCCCGATACTTGAGAAATTTTGATCTTCGTTGAGCACATGCAATTGAAGCATTTGGTCCCTCTAGCATTTCAATTCCAGAGAAATTGTAAAGAACAATAGTGTTCGCATTCATGGGCAATAACAACTCTTTCAAAACAGTTCCTGAACATGGAAAATAGAAAGAAATCTGAGTCATCAAAATATTACAATTGCAGGGGCAGGGGGAAAATTAATAAACAAGCATCGAAGTAGTAGCAAGGGGATTCCCGTGGCACAAAAGCTGGCTGATGCGGCACTGCCCCATAATAATTCCCTTTTTCTTCAACGCAAGTGAAGTGGTTACCCAATATTCATGTTACAGCAAAATTTACAAGAAACCTCACTCCTGGTCCCAAGTATATCTATATCACCTAGACAGGCTATGCAGCAGAGGTAGCATTCCAACTATGTTGGTACTCTGACACATCCAACAGCACCACAACTCTTTGGAACTACTGCCAGCAGATCCCACCTCCATACAGAAGCAGCTCCAAATCATGAATTACTCCAATTCAACATACAGCACTTCGACTCAAGCCAAGTATCTGAACATGTTGGGGTTGTCCTTGTCCCTCTCAAGATAATCTCGGGTGATCAGATCTTCTATCCTCTTCTTGATTGCCTTGAAGTCAGGCTGATTATGGACACACAAACCATCCAAAATATATGAGAAATACTGCTGTGACTTACCAAAACGATGTAAAGGGAATACAATATAAATACCTTGAACATGCGGCCTAGCTGCTCAACACATTCCATCACCAACTGCTGGTGCCCCAAAACTTTTCGACTCTTCATGATGCGGACAATTGAGGCATCTATCGCATATCGCCTATCCTTATCAACATCTTCAATGACCTTCTTCTTCTCATCCACAGGAGGGAGTGGAATCTGCAATTATCAAAGATAGTTCATCTCTAAGTAAAAAAAAAAAAGAAAAAAACACAAATAAAGAAAAGAAAGAACCAGGAAAATGGTCATCAGAAAGCAAGCATTCAAGATTTGTGAAAAAACTAGATCTGACCTTTATCCTCCTCATCTTGTCAGTAAACTTGGAATTGAATTCAAAACAATCGGTTGGGGAGATGGTTTTGGTATTTGGCTCTTTATTAAGAATCTTGTATTTTGCACATGATAAGGAATGAAGCAACCTAACTACATCATCATCCGTCAAGTTTAACTGCGTCATGATTTCTGAGTAACTTAATCTATCTGAAGCGTTGAAAAGCAGCAGGGCAGAGGCCTGTGAACAAGGAAAACTAGGAGGTCAACTTGCATTGCTGAAACAATCAGGAACTCACATTTATCAAAAAAAAAAAAACAATCAGGACCTCACGTAAATGGAGAATATAGTATGTACAAAGATTAACCTGGTAAGTCGTCACAATTAGCTCCATAGTTTTGGGTTCAAACTTCCCATTAATGTTGCAAGTACCCAATGAATATATCCACGTAAGTTTTCTGTGTTTGGTCTTTGTTTGGTAGAATTCCTTAAAAACTTCAACACATTTTACCTGAAACACAAAAACTCGAAGATGCATTTTATGGATAATTAAAGCTCCCAAGATTTTCAAGAACAAATGAATAGGTCAATTTACCATCTCTGCTGGAAGGTTGAGGTCGAATGATTTATAACTTGGCCAGAATCCAGTAGTCAACACAGTAACAGTCAAGTCAATACCAGGATTTGCATTTGGGTTAGTACTAAGATACTCCTCAAAGTTGGCTTGATTTTCCCTTGCCAATGTTAAATCTGTGACCTGGAAGATTAAAAATACCATCACACTTAGTGATCTGAATTGTGTCTGCAGAAAATAAAAATTACTAATTTAAGGGGGAATAATGTTCAAGTACTGACCATCCCTTCCATCTTTGATGTGAACTGTCCACCACACTGCTGCTTCAACTTTGTCAAAATACTCCTCTCATGATCATCATTAGCACTCTTGTCAAAAAGAAGTCGGCGTGCAAGCTTTTTCCTGTTAATAACAATTAACAATGGAGTGCAAATACCAAGAAATTAAAATATAAATGGACATTACCAAATGCTGACTGAAAGCAGATCAAAGAAACTACAGTCCTTACCTATAGAACTCAGCAAAGAGGTCTTTGTCACTGATATAAGCAAGCAACTTTACAACCTGCAGATTATATTGATGGGAGAGGAAGAGAAAAAAAAAACATGATAACCATTAATGTCCGGGCAAAGAATGGGTAAATGGAATCTGCCAGCAGTAACAACAAGCTACCTTTTCCAGTGTTTCTTCAATGGCCTCATCACTCAGTTTTTCACTTCCACCCTTCTTGAGAATGTTATCACAGAAAGTAGCCAGTAGTTCTGCACTAGAACTTCCAGCAACACCCTTGTTGCAGAAGACCTCAAATGCCTCTTTGAGTGCCTAGAAGAGAGAAAACTTTCAGTGCAGAAATAATGGGATGTAACCAAGACCATAGAAAGAGGGACTGAACATACTAGACCCACTGTGACAGTGTGCACTATTGCACCATTGCATTTTTTCTTTATTTTTTTTCTTTTTGCCCAATAGGAGCACATATGCAACTTATACAGCCACTCTTAATAAAACATAAGGCGGGTGGTCAATCATTCAAGATACCCCTTCAGACAGTTTCCCGTTCTTCAAGTTGCTTAGAGAATTTTGGTCTCTATGGTAACAAAAGCAACTAAGATAGTATAATTAAATGCAAAATTGCAAACCTTGTGGAAAAGAGAGTGGTTCATAAAGCAATCATTCACATATGCCAGGTACTTGTCATGCAGCTCAATTACTTTCCTCACAAAAACCTGAAGACACAAAAAAAAAGTTAATTTCTTTCGACCAACTATCCAGTCGAAGACCAGATTTACAAGTTACGATATTTACCTGCTCTTGTAAGCCAACTACATCCTTCTTTTCTGCCTGTACAGTATAAAATTGTTAGTACTGTAATTGTAGAAAATAATGACAACTTAGAGTTCATGCATGTAGCTCAATTTTTTTTTTGAAAAAGAAAAATAAATAAATAAAAATCCTAGTATTTGCAAATGAATTTCTTAAAAGCTCTTAACCCTCCCCAAGAAAGACAAAGAAGAAAACAGTTACAGCACTGCCCAAAACAAAAAAATCCCTTCCCACCCTTTGTTTAGCCAGAGTATTTGCAAATGAATTTGCAGATTTCTTCACCTAATGAAACCGAATCTCTATTCCCGAGTTACCAAATCAAACTCTCTTTTTTCATTAGCAAATTTCCAGAGTTTATTATTAACCTATCACCAGTTTAGAATCTCCTTCTATGCTTTTGAATATTTAATTCCTTTGCCTTCTTTACCCCTTCCAACACTGCCAGGCTGTAAACATTAGAAAAGACATAATGGGAAAAAATTACTTATTCCCCTTCTACTTTTAGATACCAATGTGTCTAACCTATTTTTGATAGATAGAAGTGTATATACAAAATTGTTTACTAAAAAATTGTATATACAATTAAAATTAAGTTTTTATGAAATAAAATAAATAACAAAGTATTCCAAGACTGACAAAATTGGTGTAAAACAATGCTCAGTTCTGTAAGTGGGGAAAATCCACTTTTAGAGAGAGAGAGAGAGAGAGAGAGAGGATCTCTTTTATGCTATTTTCTTAATTGGACGCTGTTTCTGAATTCAGACCAAGCTTAAATGGCCATGGAAAACTGAAAGATACAATTATTGCCAGGACCAGATCAATGTCATCTAAGCCTTGTCCCAACTATAGGGGTGGGGTTGGCTACTCGAATCCTGTTTCGCCATTCTGTTGTGCCCAGAGTCATATCCATCACTAAATTATGGGCATTTACACCAAACTCTATTTCCCATGCTTGTCAGCAAGAGATTTTAGTATTAAACAAAGTAACGGACTCTTGGAGTATGAATGGATCGATGCTATGTAAAATAAAGAAAAATGCATAAAAAAAAACATGACAGTAGAGTTCCTTATGTTTTCTTCCAATCAGTGGTATGTTGGTACCGAGTTGCCACAAGCAAATGGCACATCAAACAATAAAGCTTAAAAAGGTGGAGCTGTTTTGATGAATGTTGTTAGTTTAGATGCAAGTTTGGAAATTTCTGGGGGTTTGTCTGGGTGTTTGATGCTTTGGTTTTTCTATCCATGCACTTAGTTTATTGTTCGTAAGGGCTGGAAAGCTGGATTGTTTGGGTTTTGTTATCGTTTTTCAGGGTGATTCCTTTGTGTGTACTTGTCTTTCTCTTTTCTCTTCTCTAATAAAATTTTCTTACTTATTTTCAAAAAAAAATGTCAAAATTGACTCTTTCTTTGGAAAAAAGGCTATTCTTAATCCTAGCCTATCCACAAAGTTGACTCTTTCTTTGGAAAATAAAGGCTATTCCTAATCCTAGCCTATCCATCCTAACTTTTCTTGCAAAACAGATTGAATTATCTGCAATACTGCAGTTATCTTTCTCTTCTTGCACAACTCTAGTTTATACCAATCTATTTATGAGATTGCATACATATCTCAAATTTAGATCATTATCTTTTTTTTTATGGACTAGTCAATGCTTAAGTACTGACTGGTCATTGCATTGACTTGAGAGACCAAGATGACTAGTAATCGCTTCATCACATTAAAAACAGACCAATTAGGAAACTAGAAAAAAAAAAAAAAAAACTCAAAATCAGTGCATGATTAAAAAAAATTGAGCCACCAATATTCTAAAGTTAAACTACAAAAGATCAGTTAATCAATATACAATTACCCTGACAAACATTCCAACTAAGGTTTCCATCCTTAAGTGGATTGCGAATTTCCAGTATTTTAGCAATTGATAAAACATTATTTAGACAATGGTATATGCAGAACTTGTATTCACTGGTCTCTCTTTCCAAGAATTGGTTTTCCATCTCGAGTGCATATTCCACTAACATACAACCGCATCTTGTTGAAACCTTTTAGACAGCATGGATGATAATGGAAAATATACTTCTGCCCCCAGTGCATATTCCACTAACAAACAACTGCATCTTGTTGAAACTTTTTAGGCAGCATGGGTAAAACTGGAAAATATGCCTTCACTGACCCAAGATTGGTCAGTGAAGAGTTTTAATAAAACAGGTGGTATTCTTAAGAACCTAGTCAGATTTGCAATCTGTTGGAAAACGGCAAGAGAACGCATAGCAGAATTTTGATTGCAAGAGCCACCCAGAGTATAACAGCAAAATAGAGAATGTTGTTGTCTTTTGGCATTGAGGAACTTTTTCCTATGATTTGAATAGGAACATCTTTATTGATAAAAAAGGAAATGAACATCTTTGATACAATAACATGAGGATGATATAATACAATAATTACTTGTAAGAAAAAAAAATGTAACAAGGCCTTGTAATGTAAGCTTTTTTAGAACTCTACAGGGAAGAAGTAATACATTGGCTAAAGTGGACTATATCCTAACAAGAGTAATACATTGGCCGAAAACCTTGGATATATTTGCTGATTTCTCTTTTGATGACATGTGGAGCATAGTTGTCAAGGCAAGTCGCCTAGGCAACTAGGCACCCTTGGCTGGGCGCCTCGCCCAAACGCCTCGACTTTTAGCAACTAAGCACCCTTCTAGGCGACAAAAATGACAAGGCAGGCGCCTTTTATAATATCATTTATATTGTTGTGTCTTATATATCAATTATACTTTGTTTTAATGTTTTACTATTGAAATTTAAAAGATCAAAGGGTTTTGAGAAGAGAAAAAGAAAGAAAGAAAGAAAAGAAAGAGGAAAGAAAGAATAGAATAATAAAGTTATTTTTTTCTATTCTCTCTCTCTCTAATTAAATAAAACAGAAACTCCATCCTTGTTTTTCTTTTCTATTTTACTTTCCATCTTGAATATTTATCATATAAAGTTGATAACCATCTTTAGCTGCTAATTAATATGAATTTTCTCTATTAAATACTTATTATAGTAGTATTATTTTTTGAAAATAATGAAATTAATATATGTAAAAGATTTTTATCTTTTAGATGTGATGATTTGCCACATTTTTAGAGGAAATTTAATGTTCTTAATAAAGAGAATTGATATTTTTCAATTAACATACATGTTGAATGGTATATAAAACTAGGAAACTAGCCAAAAGTCAGATTTTTATATTATAAAATTTTTATCGCTTAGGTGACTAGGCGCCCCAGTGTCGCCCAGAATCACCTAGACGCCTTTAAAACTATGGTGTAGAGGAATTGGTTAGTAATAGCTAATACTTCTACAAAGAAGAATAGAAGTTTGTTAGAATGGGATCCGCCTCCAAAAGGTGTCATCAAGTTATATTTTGATGGAAGCAGCCAACTTAACCCTGGGCCTTCAGGTATAGGGGGTGTCCTGAGGAATAAGGACAGCAACATCATCTCCTTATTCTCAGGACCAATGGGAGTGGGGGACTCTACAAGGGCAGAAATACTAGCTGCAGTACAAGGAATTCAGATCGCTAACCAGCTTGGGGTGGAGCATCTCCTAGTTGAAGGGGACTCTCAGGTGGTAACAAGGTGGCTTCTAAACCTGGATGCTACCATTTGGGGCTACAAAGACCTCATCAAAAAAGTAAAGTGGTTAACTAATAATATGAGAATTGAGGTAAAATGGGTAAGTAGGTCAGCTAATAATACTATGGCTGATTCTTTGGTCAAACAGGGGGTTTCTAGGGAGGATCTTTTTTGTGCTACATTGTAACTTGTTATAGTATATTGGAAAACTGTACTTAACTAACTTGGAGAGGTTGCATCTCGTGCCTCTCCTTGGGGACATTGTACTATTTTTTTTATCAATAAATATGTGTTTTATTAAAATTCAGATTCAGATTGTAAACATTTTATACAATTTGATGATGGGACTGTTGATCCCTTTTCCTCAACTCTATTTATCCCTCATTACAATGTAGCCCAAAATAATTGTTGTCTCAATGCCCCTTGTTTTGCTAATCCATTAACTAGCCCATTTGCACTTCTACGGACC